CCAAGAAAGAGATTAAAAAAAAAATCAGAAAAAAAAACAACCTGGTGTGTGTCTCTACTGAAACAATGGGACAGCATTGGAGAACTAATGTAGCGACTACGAAACTACAAAGTAAAGTTTTCTTTGGATTTTCTAGGAGAGAAAGGGACTTCAGATATTGTGAGAAATATTAACACTCTCATTATGCCATTTCAAATAAGGAAAAAATAGTTACATGTATATATATTTTACTTGTATGTACATATAGAAGTAAATACAATTTAAGAAGAAATAGTTGTGCCTTTTACAGCCTTTTTCCTAGTGCCTAATTTTATCTCTTCAGAGGTATATGCAAGTCCTATCTTTTGCAGGATTCATAAAGCATCATCACTGACTAAGTAAAAGGAGAATTGTGGTTTTGAAATATTTACTGGAAATACAAGATGTGATTTGCTAATTTTGGAGTTTATTAGTGTAACAAACCCTTGAGATTTATGCAGACATTTGGGTATGTAAGTAGGTACTCTGGTTTTGCATTAAAAAGGGTGTGGAGCAATGCATTAGCTAGTTAATGGCAGAGTTGTAAAGTTAAATCACTTGATTATTTTTTCCTTTTAGTCTGCAGGTCAGTTGTCCTGCAAGTTTTTCTTTGCATATATCAAAAATAGTTTCTTAAGTTCCTGAATAAGAGTAATCTTACAGTGTCAATTTATCTAAATTCTTTATTTCTTCAGTCTTCTGTGTGAGGTGTGAAAAGGACTCTTGTTTCCTTTTGGGCAAAACTGAAGTATTTTATCAGCTTCTGTTTTGATGTGTGTTAGTGTTAGTTCACCTAGCTTTGCTTAACATCTGGTGGAATTACACTGCATGTTCAGAACTGCAAAATTAGGTAGGCAGATGGTATCCTGGGTAGCTGGATTCAGATGGGATCATTATTAGCTTTAGAAGAATTGGATTTCACAGAGCTCAAGGATTGCAACTGATCTTCATCTAGATGAGAACTTAACAAATTTCAAGCGTAGCTTGTTATCAAATTGGTACTTAAATTTTGTAGTTGTTTTGGGAAACCTTTCTGTAGCCTTTGTACCGACTCATCTTCCTTATCGCACTGCTCACTAGATGACTGAGCGTGCTCCCTTGAAGTGAGGTGGCTACTGGTAACTTGGGTGGATGTTCACTCTGTAGCTTTGCACTGTCATCTTCTCTTTGTTTGCATTATGTACGTGTTTGTCACTTTCAGTTCTTTTTAACTTTTAAAATAGTGTAGCAAAGATCCGAACATCCCATTTATACAAGTAAAGTGTTTGTAGCCTACTGAACAGTAGTTACTTGAAAAATGTGTGGATCTCTTGTTAATTCTTTTCAGTCTTCTTTTTTTTTTTCTCTTTAAAAACAGGTAGTTATGCTTGTGCTAGCATGGAAGTTGGATGCACAAAACATGGGCTACTTTACATTACAAGAATGGTTAAAAGGAATGACATCACTACAGTAAGTGCTTTTTTTTTTTTTTTTTTTTTTTTTTTAGGAAAAACACACTTTAATGTTTTGACTCATAACACCTAAAGCAGAGAGCTCTGCTGTGGAGTAGAAGCCATGCATTTTTGGTCCTATTTATGGTGATATGGCCACTTAGAGACAACCTGAAACCTGACAGCTGCATGTTTAAATATAGTTGGGTTAAAATGTCTGCAGTCTTAAGAAAACAGAAATGTCACGAGATTTGGCATTGTTTCTGTCCCCAGGGACATCTATCTTTGTCACTGTGTTGGGCCTATCTGTTAGATATTGGTATGTTGTTAGAGTGTGTGTAGTTTAAAGTGCTAAATAATACAAACCTTTTCTGTGACTCTGCATTGTCATGTTCTTTCTAAGAGTTCTTTCTCCAGTTGAGAGCTTATCTTCATGGCATAATTAACATAAATGTAGTTGAATAATCACATGTTTCATAGAGAGCTGGAGAAAGAATTGTGTTTTGACTTATCTTCCAGAACATAATCACTAAAACTGTGTAGGAAGTTCTATGGTTTTAGCAAAACTATGGAAGTATTGTTTCACTGCTGTGGCTTGCTGGTTGTTTGCCATGTGTAGCTCTTAGTTTAATCTGTTGGATTTATCTTTTCTACAAAGCCAAACAAATTTTTATCACAGTACCAATGTGAGACTGCTATTTTATCTAAATCCGTTTCACACTGTGGGTTTAACCAAGGCGTTTTATGGAGACAGACTCATAAACATCCCTTTATACAGAGTGATGTATTTGAACAGATTGATGGGGATACATGTTAGAGATTCTTTTCTAAAACATCAGACATCTCTGTAAGAATGCAGACTCTAAATTCACTTCGTGCTTTTCTTGTAGATGTGATACTACAGAAAAATTGAGAAATTCTCTGGATTACTTGAGATCTTTATTAAATGAGCCTACCAATTTTAAACTTATTTATAGATATGCATTTGACTTTGCACGGGTAAGTACTGTGGAAGACCAGCATCTGAAATTAAAACTTTACTTTCATAAGTAATAATTGAAAGAATGTATACTTCTAAGTGTGTTTCTCTTGAGATACTACTCAGGATTGCTTCTAAAAAATGGAACTGCTCCTGTTCTAAAAAAAGTATAAGCAAAATGCCAGAACTGGAAAAGAAAAGTATATAGGATGCTTGGTATTCAGTGGTTTAGTATTTTGACACATATTGTTACCTCTCTGCTTCAGGCTATTTTGTGACTATTTAGGCAATATTCTGTGGCATACTGGAGCTTTGCCACTTACTTCCACTGGCTTTATAATTGCCCCAATTTTTCTTCTTGCTGTTTGAATTTTGGGAGCATAAACATATTTAAAACAGGCAGGCACTTCAGGTGTTTTTGCAGGCAGTGAAAATAACTAACGTGGTAAAAGCTGGAAATGATATAATATAAATACTGGTTCAGAAGACTGTTGGAAGGTCATTAATGATGTTCTCTGTATTTATTAAACAATATCCTGGTATTGGAACCCATAATGCGTGTAAGACTATTCCTACTTAAAGAGAGCAATAAAAGAAGTTTTAATTTTCTGAATTAACATTTTGAAGTGAAATTTGGACATCTGTCTTACTAATGTGATGGAATGTACAGAAGATTGGACATAATATTCACAGGCAAAACTGAAGCTCAGATTTCAGTGCAGGAGAACTGAAAACACCAAGAAAATTCGCAGCAAAAAAAGTAACATGAGAAAAATAATAAGAAGTCATTGAACTGGTAGAAATTCTGATAGTTAAGACTGTCATAAGTAACTCAGATTTGTGGTGCATCAGTGCTTTCTGCATGTCAGCATGCGGAGGTTCACGGCAGTTCACTTTTAACCAAGGAAACCTACAGCTGAAGATGACAGAATGCATGGTATTAGCATGAGAGGGAAAAAAAGCCGTATCGACATCTTAATTCCTCCTCTGCTGTGTGAAGGTGTGTTCTGCCAGTTTTGCTCGACGTAAATGCAAAGGCTAGTAGCCACTGACATTGCCAAAGTTGTTCAAGATACCGATGAGGTATTTGGAATAGATTAAAAAAAGTTTTTCTAGCAGCAAATCTGCACCAGCCAATGGCCTGTCAAAAGTAAGTGCAGAAACTTGAGTTTTTTCAAGAGGTCCCAAATTGATGTGACAAACAGTGGTCTTGAAGAAGAATTTAAACATTGGGACACAGATGCTGTGACATCATTTGTGACCGAAAAAATCCCAGATTGTAGAACTGCAAGTCAAAGGCATATCAGCAGGGGAATTGTCAAGACAATATTAGATTAATAGAATTGTTGAACTTTTAATACTGCGGAGCTAAAGGAAGTCTATAAGGAGAACGGCATCCAACAGGAATAGAAATTAATGCTGTTGAAGGCTGATTTATCTAGATGTGGCAGATGAATCTGTACATCATTTTTATCAGAATAATTGAAGTGATTGATCAAAAAAAGCTGATGGAAGCAGTTTTGGGGTTTGATTCAGAAGATTGTGTAATTTCCATCCTAGGGGTAATTGTTTCAAGGGAGTGCTTCACAGCAACAAACATTTGTCTAAACTTCTGAAGTTTTAAGAGAGAATTTTTGAAAGCATCTGTGGTGATTTGGTATTTAGAGTTAGTTTGTCAATAAAAGTAAGTATCATAGAGGTTTTATGTGGCATGCACAATTTAAGTCAGCATGGATTTGAGGAAATAATTTAAAACACCGTATGTTGGTATTAAGCACAAATACATTCCTTGCTTCCTGTTTGCCATTGTCATTGCCAAGTGTGAGAACATAGAGGCACATGTATTTCATGGCTTAAATAGGTTTTTTGTCTGAAATATTGGGGGGAAAAAAAATCTCAGAAAGACTGTCTATCATCAATGTAAAACAAGTACTGAAATTTATCAGAGTTTGTCAATGTATTCTTTTCACTGTATCTGAGAAAGAGAGTGTAAGTATCTGGAATGTATGTTAAGAATGAGACTGGAGCATCTGTTGTGCCAGATGTGCCATTAGGCAGTTGGAGGTGGGTATAAAGGGCTTATTGGAACAATTTGTTCCAAACAGTAGTGGGAGGGGGAGAATGCAGGAACTTAACATTGTGTAAGTTAAGGAAAGTAAAAACAGCATGGCCGAAGTAAACAGAGCCTGATTTCAGTAAGGCTTGATTGTGTGGGAAGAATTCAGAGTACAAACAGTATGGAAAACAAAATGTGTTCTCACAGCAGTGTGATTTCTGCTTAAAGGTGTTTGTGACAGAGGTGTAAATGGGCTTTGGAAAGAGGGTTAGTTTTTGCAACTATTTGGTGTTCGAAATCAGTGAAAGAATTGTATCATCGATACGAAAATGCCTTTGCAGGTTTGTTTTTTCAGCTTTATTACTAATTGAAAAGCTTTGTTCGTAGAATCATAGACTGGTTTGGGTTGGAAGGGACCTCAAAGACCATCTAGTTCCAACCCCCCTGCCATGGCAGGGACACCTCTCACGAGACCAGGTTGCTCACTTTTTTCCTCTAGATCATATTGAGTGAAGTCCTTCTTGGGTTTAGTGACCAGAATGTAAAACAGCTTCTGGTGTTTTCGGAGTTGCTGGCCTCTCCACTTGCCTTCCAAAAAAAAAATCCACGTTAAATTCTGTCTACACAATTTTAGAATTGAGGTGTATTTTGTATTAAATGGGTTTCAAGAAGAGATGATAAACTTATGGCTAAGGCATTCAGTTGTCTGAGAACTGGGATCTCACTCTACTGCATCCTTCCTACAGGAGGGAAGACAGTTCAGTTATGTTTTGAGCTTGTTTTAATAAAGATACGTATTCTGTAATACATACAACAGCACTTGTACAGGTGAGGCATAGGGCTCAGCTCCCTTTTTCTTGGGTAGCTATCTTGCACTGTGGATGGATAAACTATTTAAAATAGCAAAATGGAATCTTTATGTCCACGAGTTAACTTTTGAGATCTGCAGAAGTTGTGTTATCAAATGTATTCTTTCCCGCTGGTTAGATGTAATGAATCTGCTGGGTACAGTTGATGCTTTGTTTTCTTAGCAGAAACAAAAAAATTGCCCCCTAACCCTTAATATGTTATTGGAACTAAAACTGGGGTGGTTCTGAGAGGTCTGCATGTGCTAGTGTATTGTGTTCCCTCTGTTCATTTGGTAATTAATTTAATCTGAATTTCATGTAATCAGTAGAATAACAGAACAAAGAACGTCCTTGGCTCACTCTTGCAGAGTCGGTGTCACTTGACAGCTGCTGAACTATCTACTGACAGTTCACGTAGCTGTAATAATACCGCAGGAAATACCTGCAGCGATAATTATTTTCAGAGAAGTATGGCTATGCAGAAGCATACATGCAAACGTGGCTCTGGGTCTAATGGCCATTGCTTCCTAGAAAGGTCTGTGGTCATCAACAGGAACGTATGCGTCCTCTGCAATAGCGGCGACAGGTTTTTGGGAAAGTGCATAGAAAGCAGCATCTCTGTGTAGCAAGCCATTAGCTGTGAGGAAGGAAATTTTACCAGGAAGTTGTGTTTTATTAAAAAACGTCCATACGAGACTACTGTTTATTTGTTAATTTATTTTATGTACAGGTGAGCTATAGTACAGGCGGTGGGGGAAGTGGAAAATTCTGAAATCATGCTCTTTTTAAATTTTGACCTTTCTCTTTTTATGCAGGAAAAGGACCAGCGCAGCCTAGATATCAATACTGCCAAGTGTATGTTGGGCCTTCTTTTAGGAAAAACATGGTCCCTTTTTCCAGTATTTCACCAGTTTCTAGAGGTATGAAGTTTGAAACTGAATTACATTTTTTTGATCTGTCTTCTCTTGATACTTTAACGAGAGGTAGAATGAACAGCTAAGAATTTTTTCTTCTGAGTTAGGATATACTAACCCCCAAAGCAGCAGTTGTAACTGGTTATCTTTCCTGTGTTCCTTTTCCCCGAATCCCTATGCTGTTAAGGTTTATTTAATGCAGGACAAAGTATCAAATGTCTTTGATTTGCATTTGGACTTCATTTTATTGCTGTGTGCTTGTCCACTAAAAGATGTCTTAATCAGAGACGTGAATTATTCAACACTAGTTTGACTACTTAGTGGTTTCTTTAATCCTGTTTAGTTTTAGATGGCATACAGACTAAAATAGTATTTCATCACAAGGTTTAAATTTTCTGTAAGAAAATCTGAATTTGAGGGACTTGAAGATATATTTTAGTAACTTCTATTTCTTGCCTTAAGCAGCAATCAAAATACAAAGTTATCAATAAGGACCAATGGTGTAACGTTCTCGAATTCAGCAGAACAATTAACCTCGACCTCAGTAATTATGATGAAGATGGAGCCTGTAAGTACTACCATGTGTTGGTGTTCTGAAATAATTTATTTCTCTGACATTAATCATTCAGTGTCATTTTACGAAATTTTTGTAAAATACAGTTATTTGATCTCTCTACAGGGCCAGTGTTGTTGGATGAGTTTGTGGAATGGTATAAAGGAAAGCAGATGACATAGGAGTTTAACTATGCACAGCCACTCAAGAGTCACTGTTACTACAGTTATGTCAACCATTAGCCATAAACTGCTATTTGTATCAAAGTGCATGCTGCTTTTCTTGCACTGCATCCCTTTTGCAGGGAACTTTTGATGTTTGCTATTTAACAAGCTAGCTATGCTTGCTGTGTAGCATTGTTCTCTTTGAAGGCTGCTTTGCGTTTTGTATTTACACTACGAATTGGTGAACTTGCCAGCGTCTTCACTGTGATTATGTGTATATTGCTGTCTAAATTTTGTATATGTGTATAAAAAAAAAAGCTTCACCTAGGGATTATTTCTGCAGAAACGTATTGTAAAAATAATTTTGTGGCATATTTCTAGTCATCACTTATATGTTTGTTGAAATTTGAGTTATTTTGTTTTTCTTTTGGTCTCAAATGTAGCATTTCAGAAAACAAAATGAATAGACTGCTTGGACATAGTTACGTGAAGAACTATTGTCAATTTTTGTTACTATTTGAGATGCCAATTTCTTAGGGGAGAAGACGTGCTGTGACTTTCTTCACCGGAGTTCGCCAAACCTGACCTATTGCTTAATAGGAATGAAACATTGGTGTCTTAAAAAAAAAAAAATATATATATATATACACACATATAAATATTAAAACACTGTAATAGTTGTACATGCCACAGATTATTTCCATTTGAAGAAAAAAGTACTGACTTTTTAATGTTAAAACTGCAGTAGTCATTACAGGTACAAATGAACAAATTAAAGTACCTTTTAAAAATGGGTTTTAGACTTTCGTAAATTGCCTTTGGCATACTCCTTTTAATTTTTGGTGTACCAAGAGTGTTTGGTCTATGTTGCAATCTAGTGAAATTGAAGTTCTAGCTTAACTTAGTGGTTTGGGGAATAAAGTCTGCTCACTCCTAGCACATAGGTAATACAGTTTTGGGGTTTTTTTTTGTTTGTAACATTAGTCTTTCCCAGGGTCTCTTAACTTTGTGTTTCTAAGTAAGTAAAAACATGATATTGAATAGTCAAAATTACTTTTCCTTTCATGCTGGGGATTGGAATTTCCTAGCAGAATGTCCATTGCAGGCAATGGGCATGTTAAACACCAGCATTGAATGACAGTACTTTTTAGTAGGGACCATTGCCTGTTTCACCTATTGCTTTATAGGACTGTTCTAGTGATTATTTTGGGGAAGACGAGTGAATGGGATGATGTTCAGGTTCTGTTATTTTGTCACATTGTCTTTGCCTTACCGGTGTTGATGTTTATAAATCGGTCCTTGAAGTATCCGGTGCTATTAAACTTTGATCCCTAAGGATTTATTAAAATGTTCCATATTGATTCACGGAGCATTTAACAAAAAAGGGCCAGTGGGTGTTTTGGAACAAAGAATGACATTACTTTTCTGTAGAAATATTTTATAAGGTTTTGGCAGTTTTGGTATTTCTCTAGAGTGCGATCTGGGGGAAGTGTTTTAGGTTGAGTGTGAAATTTTCAGCTGTATTGAAGGTTCTGTTCTGCTATCACTGAAGTCAGGAACAACTGTCATTGACTTGACTACCTTCAGGATTAAGTCTAGTTTAGCAAAAGCACATTGGTTTGCTGCCCTGGACCAGGAGGTTGTAATTGTGATGCTACAGGTGGTCGATTGTGTTAGTTGTTGTTGTTGGTTTTTGTTTGTCAGACTTGGCTGCCAAAGACAAAAAATGTTTGTGTGTGTGTGTATGTATTTGTATATACATAAGTCTACAATTTGTATGTATATACAAACCTAGGATTCCATGATGCTAAGAAGAAAATACTACCTTTCCCCATGAAATAGTCCTGTTTGGATTTCCATGACACTAAATATCACTCTTCAAAGTTAATAGTGGTAAAACTTACATAGTCATTGCTTTCTTATGTACTAATACGCATAACCTTAATTCCATGTTTGATGCCAGTTTGCACAAGAAGTTAATTCAGTGGAGTGTGGTATTTAATGTTTACAATAAGCCTCTTACTAAAACTCACATGTTTTATTAAGACTTCTGATGTAAATGTGTATATTACCATAGTATAACCATAAGGAAATAGCAGTGGAGCTACTGGTTTAGTTCTTAAAAGAATGAACTTAGAAGCAATATAACTTTTAGTGTTAGGCTAAATTGTGGTTGCTAAGATTTTAAGTGAAGTACTGTAATTGTTCTTAAACGTTAAGCTAGTTACTGACTCTAGAAAACTGTTTAGCACAAATTGGCATGAATTCTGTAACAAATACAAGGTTTGCATAAAAGGTTTTGTATGTCACAAATAATTTGGCTTCCAGTAAAGGAAGCAAGAGCCAAAGACACTTTTAATCTATTACTCTTATAGGTATAACTTCCATATAACAGGGTCAACAGAAATCTGTTCAGCTCAACCAGGTGCTCTTTTTTCCAAGTTTTGCAAACTTTTAGCAGAATACAAAATTTAATTAAAAGCAAAGAAAACAAAGGAAAAGAAACCTCTAAAGTACTCACACTGTGTAAGTAAACAAACTTCATTTTTGTTTTGGGTAAAAGTAACTGAGAGTGATGGAAAGGAAGAATGTGTTTGGAAATGAATCAGATAGATACTGCAAATTTATTTTCTTCCACTTGCACACAGGATGAATCTGTGGTCTTCAGCTGGTTTATAAACATGCATCTTCAGAAGATAAACCACAAATTCAATTACAGCTGGTAGACAGCTTTACTGACATTTATTGAGAACAAATGGACTAGAATGGACCCGTATGGCTTGATAAGCTTCCCTGTGCTATCCATCCTCTTGTTTCCGCAATATATGCTGATAAACAGAGGATCCTAATACTGCCAGCTCTTGTGTTTTGGAGACATTCCCTCTCATTTTTAAATAATTGTGGAAACTTAACTAAGCTACTAGTTTACCTTGTATTTACTACAAGTTTGGTGTTTGCTTTTTCATTTGTTATGCCGTCATATAGTTGGTATAATATGGCTTGGGTTTTTTTTGTTTGATTGTTTGTTTTTTTGCCATTTGAAAAGTAATAATTAGAATGTGCTGACTTCTTGAACAAGGCACTGAGAAGTCATTCTGGCAGAAGTGTCATGGGTCTTGTGCTAATGTTTCTGGTGTACTGTTACTGTCCGTATAGCAGAAACTTGATGATCTGTGTGCAGTTCATGCTTGGTATTTGGGAGATGTAAAGTGGAAAGCCAACTAGTGAAAGGAAAGCAGCATCCAGAGGCTGTAGCAGTGAACGCTCCAAGTTAATAGATGACAAACATTTGGAGCAATTTGGACTCGATGATCTTAAAGGTCTTTTCCAGCCTAAATGATTCTATGAATATTAGTAACCAAAACACTCCTCAAATTAAATCTCATTCTACACCAAAATAATATCAAGTATTTAAAATATTAATACATTCTGTGTTACTGTTGTTTTTTCACTTTTTATCTTTTTCAAGGAAAGCAAGCTGAAGAGGTTGGAATTCATTGGAATCCTTTATGTACTTGAGTTTTTAGTTAAAACCTGTTACTTTTGTGCAGCCTTTTTTAACTTTTGTAGACGACTGGAGGCTTCTCACATTTTACTACAAATACATGAATTTTATTTCGTCACAAATATGCTCTCACACTCAAAATCAGTTACAGCTCATAGCTACTTGGTTAATGTTCCCATGTTACTTTTTTGGAGGGTGAGAAATGGACTTCAGTTGTGTTAAGGTTTTCCCAGATTTCTGTTGACCCTTGGTCACAAGTCTAACAAATTGTTTAATACTTTTGGAATTCATATAGACAGCTTTAAAGGTTAGCTTGTGCCCTGGTTTTAATTATAGCTGCTAAAATACCTCTTTCTAGGCCTTATATTTTGTCCTTTCATATTGCTGTAAAAGTGGATAGAATCCATCCACCAACTCAGTAGTTTATTGTCTGTAATTGAGACCAAAACTCGATTTTTTTTTTTTTTTTTTGGTGGTTGTTTTTATTTTTTATTCCCCCGTGTGTGCGTGTGTACATGTCACAGAATAGTATCTGCTGACACTGCTGTTGCAAGAACAGCGGTTAACCTGTAACTGTGAATGCTTTATGTCTTAGTTATTTGGATATTACATAAATAAGGTGTGCTAAACTCCTGTGACTCACAGCCTGACAAAAATACTGTTACGCCACCTAACATGAGTTCATCCGGTTGGTTTTTAGGTCTTTTGCTGGTGTTAATGTAAAATGGCATCCCACAAATAAACAGTATTTGTGTTGGTTTCAGCAACTGACTTGAGATTTTTCTATGGTTTGTACTTCAGAATTCTCATATCTGAATGTGCATCACATCAGCTGGTGACCTTTATAATTTAGTAGTGGAGAACTTGTAGGTACAATCTTATAATCATTATCTGTCATAGTAAGGCAAATCAATAGTTAAAACTTTGTTGGAAAAAGGTATGTTTCAAATGGAGTGTGTGGGTGTAAAACAATATTGTAATACAAAAGTTTTGTACAGAAAGAGTCAATTTGAACAGGAATGTCTCTTAAGACAAAGTTTTACAAGAAGCGTGATCATTACCCACCACAGGCTGTTGGCCCATGCGGTCCTTGTAGAAAAGCTGTTGATGTGTGGGCTGAATGAGCAGACAGTGAGGCGGTCTGAACGCTGGCTGAACGGCAGGGCCCAGGGGGGTGGTGGTCAGTGGCACAAAGTCTAGTTGGAGGCCAGTAACTAGCGCTGTACCCCAGGGATCAGTGCTGGGTCCAGTCCTGTTCAACACCTTCATTAATGACCCGGATGACGGGGCAGAGGGCGCCCTCAGCAAGTTTGCTGATGACACCAAATGGGAGGAGTGGCTCATATCCCAGAGGGTCGTGCTGCCATCGAGAGGGACCTCGACAGGCTGGAGAAATGGGCTGACAGGAACCTCACAAACTTCAACCAGGAGAAGTGTGAAGTCCTGCACTTGGGGAGGAACAAACCCATGCACCACGCACAGTATATGCTGGGGGCCACCCAGCTGGAAAGCAGCTTGGCAGAAAAGGACCTCGAGGTCCTGGTGGACACCAAGTTGAGCATGAGTCAGCAACGTGCCCTTGCCACAAAGAAGGCTTATGGTACCCTGGTCTGCATTAGAGAAAGTATTGCCAGCAGGCTGAAAGTGGTGATCCTTCCCTCCTACCCAGGACTGGTGAGGTCACACCCAGAGTCCTGTGTCCAGTTCTGGGCTCCCCAGTACCAGAGACGTACTGGAGAGAGTCCAGCAAAGGCTGATGCAGATGATGAAGAGACTGGAGCGTCTCTCCTATGAGCAAAGGCTGAGGGAGCTGGGACTGTTCAGCCTGGAGCAGAGAAGGTGCTGGGGGGGATCTTGCTAATATATATGATTATCTGAAGGGAGGGTGTAAAGACGACAGAGCCAGACTGTTTCCAGTGGTGCCCAGTGACAGGACCAGAGGCAGAGGGCACAAACTGAAACACAGGGGCTTCCCTCTGAACGTCAGGAAATACTTCTTGTCTGTGAGGGTGTCCCAGCACTGGCACAGGTTGCCCCTGGGGGTTGTGGAATCTGCATCCTAGAAGATACTCAGAAGCCATCTGGACGTGGCCTGGGCTACTGGCTGTAGGTGGCCCTGCTTGAGCAGAGGGATTGGACTAGTTGATCTCCGGAGCTCCCTTCTGACCTCAACCCTTTGTGATTTCTAAAAGCATATGCTAAAGAAAATTCTCTAAATTACTCAAATGTAATGCTGGGACAGCAGTCTAGTAGTACTTAGATGTGCTGATATTTTGATCTGTGGGTCTGTTCATGACCTTAAACACTTGTGGTTTTCTTATGTTTTAGAAGAGTTTTTCAATTATTTGAGTTGTAATGAGCTGTTGCGTTGATCTTTTTAAAGCAAAAGCGGTAGTATCTAAGCAGAGCAGTAGAAAAACTGCAGGCAATAAGACATGAAAATTACAGCCTAAATGTCCACAATACATTGGCAATTTAGTTTTTAAAGGAGCCATTGGTTAGTCTTACTACTTTGTATTGCAGAGTTACAAATCTGTTTCTGAGTAGGAAACAGATTTAAAAGCTTGCAAAGAGAATAAAGAGATTTCACAAGAAATGTTTTTGAATATTTTGCACTACTTGAGCTACCAGCCCTAAGGCTCTTGACTTAAAATATTAAAGTTGAATGTATTTACCTTACAATTAGAATATTGTAATGTAGAGCCCATTCTAGAGAAGCAGTTCTTTGTTACGTTCATGTTAGTGATGAAGTCTGGGATTGCCTTCACCGATTCTCAGAATGTAACTTGCTGCTTGTATTTATCAGAGGGGCTGAGTCACAGTCTTCTCTACCATGAAAACTTGAATATTACTATGCAAATAGTTTCTGATGTTAATTATTATGTAGGTTAAACATGAATGTCTCTTCTTTATATTCAAGGGTTATTTTCCAGCCCAGTTATCGGCATACTCTGGAAAGATTGAAATGCTTTGTACCTACAGCAAACAACTTGGTAATTATCAAAGTATCATAAATACGTGTTTGAAAATGAGAGCTTTCTTTCATTCCGAGTACTGTATCTGATGTTCTCGATCTGCTCTGAAGACCTCAGTATTTTTTTCCTGTGCTGTTTCACTGTATGAGGGATGCTATGTCCCATCAGCCCCAGAGCTCAGCTCGCCATTGCCCTGCGGAAGGGTGTGCCCAGACTGTTGTAAACATCCTCTTGGCTCCTCCTCGTGCTTCATTTATGAATTCATACGGCATATGCTCAGCCACCTTTTTGATCAAGCTTGTTCTGTGACTTGCTCTGTTTACCCCCTATCAGCTGTGACAGTGATGTAAGTCTTACCTGAACATGAGTGACAGTGATGTAAGTCTTACCTGAACATGAGTTTTGCTACGTGAAGCTACTGAGGAAGCTAAAGAGGTTTTAACATCCCTGGAGCAGTTGCAGTTACACCTCTCTGCAGCTGTAACTTCTGTGCAGTGGAGGCGGAGGTGGTGTCTGTATAATGTACGCTTATACCTTTATAACTACAACTGGGTTTGTAGTAGTGTAGGTGTTCTAGAAAATTCTCAGTGACCAAAGCAGCTAAACTAGTGAAGTTCTCAGTGTGAACAAGATGCAGTGAGTCGAAATGTAAAGAAAAGTGAGCGGATAAAATCTCAGAGGGATTTGGTGAGCAGGGGAGTTGTGTAGCTATTGTGTACAGAAGGGCATGGAGACATGGGATGGATGGAGAGGGGCAGAGCAGGAAGAGTACTGCTTGGAAGCCACAGAACATATAAAAGCTTTTGTATTAACTTTAAGAGCAACTGCTAATGAAGTGAGGAGCTAATGAAGGAGAAGCAGCTGAGTGTTTGGGTTTGAATGAACAAGTGATAATAGGAGTGTTGGGATGATCAGCAGCAAAGGAAAGGTGCAAGATTAGGCAGAAATCTGAAGGTAACTTTGAGACAGAACGTCAACAATATTCAGTAGAATGAAACACTTTGTCACATGTTAACAATACCTTGATGAATGAGCAAATTTATTTTCTGTGATGAGAACAGCAGATAACCTTTTTCTGTAGCTTTATGGCACAAAAGGAGGCTTAGAAAACTGGCACCTTCTCAGAAGTAGCGTGCTGTCTGCATCGCCTCTGTGAGA